GGGATTTGGGGGGTCCTGGGAGGGATTTGGGGGGTCCCTGGAGAGTCTGGGGAGGTTTAGGGGGTCCCAGGGAATTCTGGGGGGTCTCTGGAGGTGTTTTTGGGGTACCCCCAGGAAATCTGGGGGGTTTTTCTGGGGGTCTCTGGGCTCTTTTTTGGTGTCTCTGGGGCTGTTTTTGGGGTGTCCCTGGGGGCATTTTTGGGCTGTTTTTGGGGTGTCCCTGGTGGTATTTTTGGGGTATTTTTTGGGGTGTCCCAGGGGTGTTTTTGGGGTGTCCCTGGGGGTTTTTATGAGGTGGTTTTGGGCTGGTTTTGGGGTGTCCCTGGGAGTATTTTTTGGGGTATTTTTGGGGTGTCCCTGGGGGTACTTTTGGGGTGTCCCTGGCGGTATTTTTGGGGTGTCCTGGGGATATTTTTGGGGTGTCCTGGGGGTATTTTTGGGGTATTTTTTGGGGTGTCCCGGAGGTGTTTTTGGGGTGTCCCGGGGGTGTTTTTTGGGTGTCCCTGGGGGTTTTTATGAGGTGGTTTTGGGCTGGTTTTGGGGTGTCCCTGGGAGTATTTTTTGGGGTGTTTTTGGGGTGTCCCTGGGGATATTTTTGGGGTGTCCTTGGCAGTATTTTTGGGGTGTCCCTGGGGATATTTATGAGATGGTTCTAGGCTGGTTTTGGGGTGTCCCTGGGGTATTTTTTGGGGTATTTTTGGGGTGTCTCTAGGTGTACTTTTGGGATATTTTTGGGGTGATTTGGGGGTCCCAGCGCCCCCTCCCCACATTTCCTCGCCCCCCAGGACCCCCACGGCTGCTGACATTTGCTTCACGCGGGAGCTGCACGCGCTCTTCTTCAGCCTGGGGCGCTGCGTGCCCGTCTGCCGCGGTAACTGGGAGCACTGGGAGGGACTGGGATGGGACTGGGAGGGACTGGGATCAAACTGGGATGGACTGGGATCAAACTGGAATGGGCTGGGATAGGACTGGGATGGGACTGGGATGGACTGGGATCAAACTGGAATGGGCTGGGATAGGACTGGGATGGACTGGGATGGACTGGGATCAAACTGGGATGGGCTGGGATGGGACTGGGGGTGCTGCATGCCTGTCTGCCACAGTAACTGGGAGCACTGGGAGGGACTGGGATCAGACTTGGATGGACTGGGATCAGACTGGGCAGGACTGGGATCAAACTGGAATGGACTGGGATGGGACTGGGGGGGACTGGGATCAAACTGGGATTGGCTGGGATGGGATTGGGATCAAACTGGGATGGACTGGGACTGGAATGAAGGAGAACGGGAAGGATTGGGATGAAACTGGGGACACTGGGACAGCGACTGGGAGGGAGTGGCATGGGACTGGGAGGGACTGGGACCAAACTGGGATGGACTGGGAGGGGACTGAGGGCGCTGCCCGTGTGCTGCGGTAACTGGGAATATTGGGGGGGACTGGGAAGAGACTGGAAAAGGACTGGGAGGGACTGGGACAAACTGGGATGGGATTGGGAGCACTTGGAGCACTGGGAATGGACTGGGAGGGGACTGGGACAAATTGGGAGAGAACTGGGACAGGAATGGAAGAGACTGGGAGGGACTGGGATGAAACTGGGAACACTGGGACAGGGACTGGGAGGGACTGGGGAGAACTGGGAGGGGAATGGGGGGACTGGGACAAACTGGGAGTGGACTGGGAGGGGACCGGGACAAATTGGGAAGAACTGGGATGGGATTGGGAGGGGAATGGGAAGACTGGGATGAAACTGGGAACACTGGGACAGGGACTGGGAGCACTGGGAGGGACTGGGCTGTTTATAATCTGTACTGGGTGGGGGTAGGGGGGGAAACTGGGGGGCACTGGGTCACTCCCAGTCCATACTGGGAGGCTCCCAGTTCCAAACTGGTGCCGCAGGGGACGGCGTTTACCAGCGGGGGATGGATTTTATCCTGGAAAAGCTCAACCAGGGAGACTGGGTGCACGTGTTCCCCGAGGGTACTGGGAGCACTGGGAGGGACTGGGAGGGACTGGGGAGCACTGGGAAGG